TATCTATCTATCTATCTATCTATCTATCTATCTATCTATCTATCTATATCTGTTTATTTTGCTTTTGAAACTGTTCAGATCTCCACTGTTCACCCCGAGCTGGAGGTTGATCCTCTTTCCTTGCCACTTGTACATGTTTCATTTCTTCTTGTTTGTGTTTTATGGAATATTTCTCTCTAGTGAGAAGACAATACATTTATCTTTCTTTCAGAACTTTTCTCCGAAAGGTTTTGCCAAAAATAATCTCTGAAATCCGTCTTCAATAAATTCATGTTTTATTAGGTTGTTTTGTGGGATGTCTCTTGGTATTTGGTTCGGGAGGTGTCTGTTTCTTCTTCAGGAGTAGCAGATCTGTTTCTCCTGGTGCTCTGGATGTCTAGAGGCCAGAGAGATTCAGGCACCATCTACTGCCTGCCTCGCTGTGATATAGAGACAAATTCCCCCAGAGGCGACCCATCTGTAAACGATCTCCCAATTAAATGTTTGATGAGTTTCCCTGGCCATGATGTCTTTTTGCAGTAATAGGACACTGACTAAGACACCAACTAGGAGACTCAGCTCAGTATCTGGCACAGAACTATTAGTTACCACCAGGTCAAAGGCCCTCTGCCTTCGGAGCCCATGAACTGCCCTCTGAGAATGGCTGTGCCTGCCAGAGAAAAGACCCGGTGAGCAACATGAAGAGAGACTGTTCTGTAGTGTCGCTGGTGCAGGGATGTGATTGACTATGAAGCTGAGGAAGTTATTTCTGGAAATAGGTTATCTTTGCATCCACTGCAGAAACAGTAGACAGCATTGGATTCCACAGGCTTCCTCTGAAGTTAGATGTCCTGGGATATCAGGGGCCATGGAAACTTAGGTCATCACAGACAAAGGTAAGTATGAAAGTCAGTGCTTCCGAAAGCCATGGGCATATTTCAGTTCAGGAAGTGTCCCGCAAGTCCTACTTTGCACCTAACACGTTAAGGCAGCAGGACGACACACCTTCAGGCTCCGTGTCTCTTCTGTGAGAGGCTTGGTGTCTGAAGTATTCCCACTGTGGTGCGGGAGAATTGTCTGTATTCTGTCAATCAAGTTTTAAATAAATGCTGAATGGCCAGGCAGGAGGTGTAGGCAGGAAAAAACAGACAGGAAGTAGAAATGATGCAAGGAGAGCAGGAGAATTCTGGGGAGGAGGAAGTTGATTCCTCCCACTCCTGCCCAGATCACTGAAGCAGCAGGATGTGAGCTGCCCCACTGAAAAAGGTACTGAGCCACATGGCTAACATAGATCAGAAAAATGGGTTAATCAAGATGTGAGAGTTAGCCAGTAAGAAGCCTGACCTAACGGGCCAATCAGCATTATAACTTACGGAGTCCTCTGTGTGGGTGATTTTCTCTGGGACTAAACAATTGTGGGGACCTGGTGGGAGGACAGAAAAACCCCCAACAAACAGGCCCCCTCATGTTATACCACTGGAGAGGTTTTTGGGTTAGTGTGGACTTTTCCACTTGGGGCATTATGATGAAACACCAAGTTTATTTGGGATTTTGGTTTAGGGACCCTCAACCTGCATGCAAAGCTGAGAATCTTCTGGAAAGCCTAAAATGAGTGGACACAGAGTGGGGTAAATGCCACCTTTGTTGTTGAGCAACAGAAAACTTAAGAGGACCAGAGGGGTCCATGCATGTTGTGGCCTTTGGATGGGGTTTCTCAGTGCCATAATGTTGGATTAGTGATGCACAAAGCACCAAGGAGGTGAGCTTTATTTACTTTTTTTTTTTTAACATAAACAGGTTCTTGGATGGTGACTCACCATCGACCAAAATAAGAAGGCTGTAAGGGAGGGGAAGGATAACCCATGTAAGCTGAGTGCCAATGGAATGCTATCCGGTACATCCAGATCATTCTAGAGGAAAAATAAGCCTTTAACACAGTCCAAGATTTAGTACATATTTAAAGTGAAAAAAAAATGCCAGCAGCCACTTTCATTAAAAAACAAACAAACAAAAAATCACATTTTTATCAGTTCTTTGAGACTTTCATTGTTAAATGCATTGTTATTTTGATAGCATTCACTTCTAACTCATTCCCTTACTCCTCCCAGGTCTGCCCCCACATGTCTACCACCTCACTTAATGGTCTCTTTTTTAAAAAGTTTGTCTTTAATAGCCGATGGAGTCCAATTTGTGCTGCCCACATACTCCTGGGTGTGGGGCCATCCAATGGAGCATGTTCTACCAACCAGCAGTCACACCCTTAAAAATTAACTTCCTCCCCCAGAAGCTATCAGTTAGGGCTGGGGGATCATGAAGCCCTTCACACTCAGTGTTAGAACACTGACAGTGTCTTCTGGGTACAGAAGCTGCTGTGCTCATGAGTACATAGCCACCATGACAGCCTGTGTAGTATCAAGCTACCTTCGTTTTTATAGTCTAAAGGAATCAGTACAAGATGGTCTTTTGCTTTTGACATGCTGTGCATTGCTCAAAGTGCTCTTGGAGTTGGCATTGGATAGATGGAAGGTAACTGAAAATTTATTGAACACACCCAACTCCTGGGTACCAGACAGCATCCCAAGGCTTTTGCAGATTAGCATGATTTCCTACTGGATGCTGAGGATGCGACTTATTAATATTCTCATGTAAGGAACTAAGATTCAAAAACACAAAACGAACAAACTAACAAAAACCCACACTTTCCTTCCAGCTCTCCTCTTCCCTACCATGCAGATTAGAAAAATAAAATAATGTTTTCTGGCATTACAGATGGACAATGACCTTCTCATCTAGAAAGATCTGGAATATTCTTTGATTGCCAAATGGGCACAGGCTTACTGGGGCTTTGGGTGGTTTGCCTACCTGCTGTTCTGATTTATGCTTCCTTCTAGAAGTTTTAAAAATAAGTTAAGACCCACTAAAAATGAAGCATGTGGCCATTTCCATCTAAAATGACAGAAGGAAATTTAGAAAAATGGCAGTTTGTGTTTATCATAAATCTAAGGTGACAAAATCCATTGTGGTTCCAAACTCAAACCAGAAACAGAGAAACACCAAGTCTTCTGGTCAAGCTCAGACCCAGAATACCCAGGTTTACAAGGGTTCAGGATTTGTTTTCAAATTTGATCTACTTCTCCATATTCCCACCAGTACCAAAGCAGGGTCAACGTTCGTTCCTCAGACTGAATGGGCAAGGCTGCCTGTGAGAAAGAAGGTGCTGGCCCAGATGTGGAGAGACGAGAGTTCAGGTTTGGGAATCTTCCCACCATCAATAGACTTCCAGCTCTACTTGAAAAGCCCTAGCGTCTGTGAGAGCTCCCATTGTAGCCTTCTCTCCAGAGTCCATTAAAAAGAATATTAAATCGGGGCTGAAGAGATGGCTCAGTGCTTCAGAGCAGGGATTATTCTCCCAGAGCACCCGGGTTCAATTCCCAGCCCCCACAGGGCAGCTCATGACCGTCTTTAGCTCTAGTCCCAGAAGAAATATTACCCTCTTTTGACCTCTGAAGGCACCAGGTACACAAGTAGTACATGGACATACATTCAGGTAAAACACTGATGCACACTAAATAAATAAATCAATTTAAAATAATACCAAAGAAAATCAACAATGTTGAAGACACCATTAAATTGCACCTTAAAAGAAATACAAGATCACACTGTCTTTGCAAACCATTCAGACAGTAAGGTTAAGCTAGTATCTTCAGCCTTCCGCCGCCAGTCCTGGCTTTCCTCTCAGCTAGAATTTTCCACTCTTATCAGTATTTAATCCCAGATCATTTATTTATGCCACAGATTTGCATGTATAAGCCATTTGACCTCTGGGTGCTAAGCAGAATGAGTAAGTGACCCACTCACTTTATTCAGAAGTCCTGAAAATATCTAACTCCTCAGCCTTTTAAATGGCCTCCTATGAAGGCTAATCTCCGTGCCAACCCAGCTGGACGGAGAGATGTCTCAGTAGGATTAGTAAAGCGGACTCATGGGTGTGTCTTTGAGGGCGCTTCGAAGAGGACTGGCATGTGGGTCTGCAAGGGAAAGGAAAAGACCCTCCTTAAATTTGGGTGGCACCATCCTATACACTGGGAGCTATCTGATGGTTAGAATAAAGAGGAAGCCAGGGCTGTGCTTTCCAAGGGAGCGTGCCTATTGCGGCAACCAGGCCCACGCACCAGAATGCTGCTTCTTAGGCCTTTGGACATGGATGTGTGCACACCAACTGCTCTCCTGAGCTCCAGGCTTTCATCCCCAGCCTGGGGCGTCACTGTTCCCTTGCTCTGGGGCTCACAGCTTCTCTGACTGAGCAGTAATGAGTTCTCTGCCTTTCCAGCATGCAGTCAGCCATCTTTGTAATAGCCAGCTACTCGCATAAACTAAACGAATAACTTATAAGCCAAGCCTTCTGAAAGTCAAGTTAGAAAAATGTTTCCACCAAGCATGGTGGTGCACCAGCCCTCTGGCGTCCGAGGCAGGAGGATTGTGAACTCAAAGTCAGCCCAAACTACATGGAGAGACACGATTCTGTATGGAGCTGGAGAAACACACTTAATCTTCAGAAGGAAGTGCAAATGATTTCAAATAGCCCTGAGCAAGAAGGGTAAGATGGAGGAAGCAGAATACTTGATTTCAAGCTATAATGCAGAGTCAGCAATAAAAACAGCATGCTCCCAGCACAAAATCTGACATGTGGGCAGATTTTGGAATTGAATGCAGGACCCAGAAGTAAAC